TGATAGCTTGGGGTAGGGAGTTCCAGAGGATGGGTGAAGCCCGTGAGAAATCCTGGAGATGAGCATGGGAGGAGGAGACAAGGGAGCTAGAGAGTAGGAGGTCTTGCGAGGAGTGGAGAGTACGGTTTGGGTGGTATTTAGAGACAAGGTCGGTGATGTAGTTGAGGGCAGTGTTATGAACGGCTTTATACGTCAGTGTTAGTGTTTTCAATTTTATCCGCTGGGCAATTGGAAGCCAGTGGCAGGGATTGGCAGAGCAGAGAGGGGTGGAGGACACTGAGTGGAGGCCAGTGGAGGGATTGGCAGAGCAGAGGGTGGCTGATACAGAACGGTTAGTAAGGTGAATGAGTCTGGCAGCAACATTCATGATGAACTGGAGTGGGATAGTCTGCGATGAGGTCGGCCAGTGAGGAGGGAGTTACAATAGTCAAGGCGTGATATAATAAGGGAGTGAATGAGTTGCTTAGTGGTTTACGAGGTTAGGAACGAGTGTATCTTGGAGATGTTGCGGAGGTGAGTCTACATGAGTTTGTCAGTGATTGGACCTGGGGCTGAAAGGACAGATTGGAGTCTAGGATGACACCTAGTACCCTGGCATGAGGGGTGGGACTGATAATCACTAAGCTCTTCTCTGAAGCTCACCTTACCACCTGCCCCCTTGACCCTGTCCCTACACAACTCCTACGATCACCCTCCTCCTCCATCCTACGCTCCCTCACCCACATCTTTAATCTTTCCCTCTCTACTGGCACATTGCCCTCCCCTCTGAAGAATGCGCACATCACTCCCATACTTTAAAAACCCTCCCTGGATCCCTCTGACCTAAACAACCTAAGACCCATCTTCCTGCTGCCATTTACATCCCAACTCTTGAACGCTTAGTCTATAATCACCGGAGTTCCCACCTCACCGACAACAACCTCCTTGATCCCCTACAATCTGTCTTCCGTCCCCTACACTCCACTGAAACCGCCCTACTCAAACTCACCAATGACCTGCTAGCCTCCAAAGCCAATGGCCACTACTCAGTCCTCCTACTCCTCGACCTCTCTGCAGCTTTCGACACGGTCAACCACCCCCTCCTCCTCAAAAAACTATACTCTTTTGGCCTCAGAGACTCCGCTCTCTCCTGGCTCCTGGCTCTCTTCCTATCTATCTATCACAACGCTCCTTCAGTGTTACCTATAATGCTGCCACCTCCCCCTCTCTGTTGGGGTCCCTCAAGGTTCTGTCCTCGGGCCCCTTCTCTTCTCCATCTACACCTCCTCCCTTGGTCAACTGATACACTCTCACGGCTTCAACTACCATCTCTATGACGATGACACTCAAATCTATCTCTCTACTCCCCGTCTCACCCCTTCAGTCTCCGCCCGAATCACTAGCCTTCTGAACGACATATCAGACTGGACATATCAGACTCCAATTCCTCAAATTAAACCTTGCCAAAACCTAGCTCCTAGTTTTCCCCCCAGCCTGTGCCCCCCTGACCTCTTCATCACGACCAACAACATCACCATCAGTCCCACCCCGCAAGCCAGAGTATTAGGTGTCATTCTAGACTCCAATCTGTCTTTCCAGCCCCAGGTCCAATCGCTGACAAATTCATACAGACTCCACCTCTGTAACATCTCCAAAATATAGCAACTCATTCACTCCCTTATTTTTTTTTTTTTCCAAAAAGAAAGCCTTCATTAAGAAAGAACATAATGGTACAAAAGACATGTACAGGGTGCCTAAGCGAAACAGCAGGCACAACCTACAGCGATACAGCAGTAACTCAAACATGAAAATACAGATAATGATAATGCAATAATACAAAACCCGACTACAATAAGGTTATGCTTGCAACAAACCGGAGCCAATATAGTATAGTATGGGGTGTAATTGCATCTTATAATATCCCCTGCGCTCGTGCTTCGCCAAGCAGGGCTGTAGCGATAGGAAGAGTGGTCATGGCATCTGAACGTAGGAATTGGACAAAAACTTATGGCAAGGTGGAGAGTTACAAAACCGGCATACGTTGCGGTAGGAGCCGTTGATGGAAGAGGGGAGAGTGAAAGGATGGCATGTCTAGTGTTCCAGGTAGCATAGCAAAGCGAAAGGCGAGAAGAAAAGAGAAAGGAGAAAAGAGAGAAAGGGAAATAGAGAGAAAAGTGATAGAAACAGAAAGAGGGGGGTGGAAGGTGAAGAAAAAAAAAAAAAAAAAATTAAATAAAAATAAAAAATTGCAAAATAAATTAATAGTGAGGGGGGAACATATGGGGTGAGTAATGACAGCAATATCTGGGGTTACTCATGCATGGGGATAGGAGTTAAGCTAACGCCAGAGTCGCGTGGGAAGGGATACATTGTCGAAAAGAGTCTCAGTGCCTATCACAAAAACTACTGTAAAGAAGTAACATCAGCAGGAAAGCCGGACCAAGTCAGACCTGATGGTCCATAAGAGACCTGTACGTAGGAGTAGTTGTGAAGTAGATCCAGCAGGCCCAAATGTGGGAAAATTTAGTGGGAGTGTCAAGGGCCGACGCAATTAGTTCCTCCATGTCTGCCATTTTACCCACACGGACAAGCCAATCACGAACAGAGGGGGGGGCGAGAAGAGCCCCAAAGGACGGGAAGGCAGAGTCTGGCCGCGTTGACCATATGCATGGCCAAAGATCTATGATATTGTCTCCCCGGAAGGGAGGAATGATGGAGGAGAAACTGGGCCGGAGACAGATCCAGAGGCACGGTCGTCACCGATACTACAATCCTATGGACCTCTTTCCAAAACGTTGAATGCTCGGACAGGACCACCAGATGTGTAAAAATGATCCGTCCGCAGCCCCACACCTCCAACAGGTATTGGGATAAGAAGGATTGAAATGAGAAATTCGTGAAGGGGTGCGATACCACCTCGACACCAATTTGTAACCGTTTTCCTGCATCGAGACATTAAGGGAGCATTTATGAGAATATTTGAATACACGTGCCCAGTCGGAATCCGCCAAATTATCATCCAAATCTCTATTCCAGGCCTGACAGGAGGGCAGGGAGTTATAGGCCCTATTCTCAATTAAGAGAGGGTAAATTTCTGAAATCAAATGCTTACGCGGTTCTCCTTTCGAGCAAATATCCTCAAAAGGGGTAAGAGGGCGGGTCCAATCACGGAAAGGTTTATGCGAGAGCAGATAATGCCGTATTTGCAAATAGACCCAGAGAGGAAAATTGCGGGTACCCAAGCTGTCACGCAGTTCGTGGAGTGATTTCATCTTGCCGTCGTGGAGAAAGTGTTTGGCCAAAATTTGATCATGCGGCCAATGTTCAGCTAGAAAGTTCTTGTGCATTCCAGGGGGGGGAAGTCAGGGTTGAGTCGGATGGAAGTGAGACAATTCGGAGACGCAGAAATAGATGCTGATTTGCAGGTATAGCGGAAGGCTTTTAGGGTAGGGCCTACCAAAGGGTGACTAAGAAGGACCTGAGGCGTATGCTTCAGCGGCAGCCAAGGGATCGAAATCAGGGGTGCGGACGAGAAGGCGTGTTCTAGTTGCACCCAGTCTTTAGAAGCAGAGTGGACATGCCAATCCACTACACGGCAGAGCTGGCACGCCAAATAGTAACGGTGAAGGTCAGGAAGGCTAATACCACCACTAAGTTTAGGGAGAATCAGTTGGGAATAAGCAATGCGTGGGCGTTTATGGTTCCATAGGAATAGAGAACAGAGCCTCCTACAGGATGTGAAGAAGGCAAGCGGTATGTGGATGGGCAGAGTTTGAAAGAGGTAGAGAAGGCGAGGAAGGATGTTCATTTTAATTATCGCAGCTCTTCCGAACCACGAAAAGCAAGGACGATTCACTCCCTTATTATATCACGACTTGACTACTGTAACTCCCTCCTCACCGGCCTACCCCAACACAGGCTATCCCCACTTCAGTCTATCCTGAATTCTGCAGCCAGACTCATCCACTGTGTACTGTCTCCCATTATAATGTACAGCGCTGAGCAAACTGTTGGCGCTATATAAATACTGTATAATAATAATAATAGTGTTGTTGATCTTGATGGAGAAGTCGGGAGGGGGGGGGGGCACGGGTTGGGGGGAATACTAGAAGCTCAGTTTTGGAAAGGTTGAGTTTGAGGAAGTTGAGTGACATCCAGTCCAATATGTCACTTAGTAGGCTGGTGATGTGATTGGACACTGAGGGGGTGAGGTGAGGGGTAGAGAGATGGATTTGAGTGTCATCGGCATAGAGATGGTAGTAGAAGCCATGGGAGTTTATCAATTGGCCAAGGGAGGAGGTGTAGATGGGGAAGAGGAGGGGTCCGAGGATAGAACCTTGAGGAACCCCGACAGAGAGAGGGAGTGAGGGGATGTGGCAGCGTTATAGGTAACACTGAAGGAGCGCTGTGATAGATAGGAGGAGAGCCAGGAGAGAGCGGAGTCTCTGAGACCAACTACATTGGAGACCCATACTTGGGGTATGATCCTGTAGACACGGGCCTCATTGATCGGTGTCAGCTATCTATGTATGTACTGGGGGGAGTTACTTGCCGTGTACAGCTGAATTGTTCTAGGCTGTTTCTTCTTTTCTATGTTCATTTGTTTATAAAAGGTAAAAGTGACACCATAGACAAAGCAAGTTATTGTTCTGTATGATCTGTAACAGTGCCACAACTGCCTATACGTGAGAATGTATGACTCCATTGTCTGGGCTGAATGTTGGGAATACTGTGCACACTTAGAAACTTTATTAATAAAATCTATTTGATTAAAAAAATACTGTAGATAATGCTGTACATATTCTTTCTATTCATAAGATATATTTAGTAATGAACATTAAAAAATAGAAAGCAACTTTATGTAGCCCTTTATATAGAATTCTATCTTTTTTCTTTCTCTACAGGTAGATTGATGAACCAGGTTTTAGGACATTTTGGTCTTCATGAATACAGCTGAGTCACATGGAAAAAAAGACATATGGTTGTCTTAATTGACTGAAAGTCTTTACTGCAGTTCACTGGAGGATTCACACGGGATACAAGTCATATCTGTGTTCTAAAAGTCATGGTTTGGATCCTCTTCCACATTGATCCAGCAGGAGAAAAGTAATTTCAGTGTTCTGGAAGTGACAATGGCTTTACAATAAAGTCCAACCCCAGTATACATAAGAGGAGTCATTTCAAACTACTTGTTTGGAGATTTTACAATGGAGAGAAAATATATCACACACCAGAAGGCTTGCAATACAAGGGAGAGAAGCCATATCATTGTTCTGAATGTGGCAAAACTTTTATAAGCGAGAGAGACCTTATAGTACACCAAAGAGTTCACACTGGAGAGAAGCCATATCAGTGTTCTGAATGTGATAAAGCTTTTACACGGAAGTCACATCTTATCACACACCAGAGGATTCACACTGGAGAGAAGCCATATCAGTGTTCTGAATGTGATAAAGCTTTTACTCAGAAGAAGTCAGATCTTATCACACACCAGAGGATTCACACTGGAGAGAAGCCATATCAGTGTTCTGAATGTGATAAAGCTTTTACTCTGAAGTCAAATCTTATCACACACCAGAGGATTCACACTGGAGAGAGAAGTCATATCAGTGTTCTGAATGTGATAAAGCTTTTACACAGTGTTCTGAAGTCAAATCTTATCACACACCAGAGGATTCACACTGGAGAGAAGTCATATCAGTGTTCTGAATGTGATAAAGCTTTTACACAGAAGTCACATCTTATCAGACACCAGAGGATTCACACTGGAGAGAAGTCATATCAGTGTTCTGAATGTGATAAAGCTTTTACACAGAAGTCACATCTTATCAGACACCAGAGGAGTCACACTGGAGAGAAGCCATTTTAATGCTCTCAATGTGACAAAACTTTTTCAGTGACAAAACTTTTTCAGTTAATGCCGGTCTAATCTATCACCGGAGGATTCACAAAATCTTCAGCATAGATTATATTCTGGAAAAAAGGAATATTAAAGAAGTTTCAGGTGTCACAAGTTAGTTTCACATCCCCAATGTCATCCCACAAGCTAGAGAAGAAGGAGAAGATAAAATGCTACTTTAAAAGAAACAAACTAAAATCTGAGCAAACTGGAATGTAATGATCGGATGAACTGAGTTTTAGTGCTTATGTCCATCAATACACAACTAGAAGGGATTTGAATATTTTATCGCTTGACAATTTGTTTTTAAGATAAGCATCAATAACTGAACAGCTTCCCTCATGATTCTCATCTTTATCATGGAGCTTTGAATGAACATGTAATGCATTTTCATGATTACACCAACTGAGTTGTGTTTCCAAGCATTTTCTTCATTTCTGGATCCTGAGGTAATACATGACCAACACTGCCTCAGTACCAGAGACTAGGATGGGGTCTATTATCTTACCAAGTCTCTGAAGCCTCAGTGGGAGAGTCCATTCCAGGTTCTTCTGACTATTGATACATCATCAGCCAGGCTTGAGGTCTCCAGCTAAGCCCACCTTGTCCACTCCTCCTCCCATTACCTGTTCCATCTCCTCTCCCATTATCAATGCCTTCTTTCCACATTTCATCTCTCATTGATATTATTATTGTTTATATAGGATTTATATGGCGCCAACAGTTTGCTCAGCGCTTTACAATACAATATAACGGGAGACAATACAGTAACCATACAGTTTAATACAAGAGGGATAGGAGGGCCCTGCTCCTCAGAGCTTACAATCTAGGAGGGAGGGGCTAGTGGTACAAAAGGTAGTAACTGTGGGGGATGGACTGGTTGGGAAGAGTAGAAGATTCCATTATTAGCTGAGGGCAGGATAGGCTTCCCTGAAGATATAGGTTTTCAGAAATCACCTAAAAGTGAGCAGAGTAGGCAATAGTCTGATAAATTGGGGTAGAGAGTTCCAGAGGATGGGGGAAGCTCTGGAGACGAGCATGGGAGGAGGAGACAAGGGAGCTAGAGAGCAGGAGGTCGTGCGAGGAGCGCAGAGAGTACGGTTTGGGTGATATTTGGAGACAAGATCGTGTGATGTAATTTGGGGCAGAGTTATAAATGGCTTTATATGTTATTGTTAGTGTTTTGAATTTTTCTCCGTTGGGCAATGGGAAGCCAGTGAAGGGATTGGCAGAGAGGGGTGGAGGACACTGAGTGGAGGCCAGTGGAGGGATTGGCAGAGTGGTGGGGTGGAGGACAGAGGGTGGAGGCCAGTGGGGGATTGGCAGAGGAGGGATGGAGGCACTGAGTGGAGGGATTGGCAGAGGGGGTGGAGGACACTGAATGGAGGCCAGTGGAGGATTGGCAGAGAGGGGTGGAGGGACACTGACATGGATGGGCCAGTGGAGGGATTGGCAGAGAGGTCTGAGTGGAGGCCAGTGGAGGGATTGGCAGAGAGGGGTGGAGGACACAGAATGGAGGCCAGTGGAGGGATTGGCAGAGGGGGATGGAGGACACTGAATGGAGGCCAGTGGAGGGATTGGCAGAGGGGAGGGAGGACACTTGGAGGCCAGTGGAGGACAGGACAGTGGAGGGATTGGAGAGAGGTGGAGACACTGAATGGAGGCCAGTGGAGGCCATTGGGAGGAGGGGTGGAGGACACTGATGGATGGAGGGCCAGTGGAGGGATTGGCAGATAGGGATGGCTGATACAGAATGGTTTGTAAGGTGGATGATATCAGCAGCAGCATTCATGATAGACTGAAGAAGGGATAGCCTGCAATGAGGTCGGCCAATGAGGAGGGAGAGTTACAATAGTCGAGGCGTGATGATATAAACAAGGGAGTGAATAAGTTGCTTAGTGGTTTCCGAGGTTAAGAACGGCCATATCTTGGAGCTGTTGCGGAGGTGAAGTCTACAAGATTTGGACAGTGATTGGATTTGGGGCTGAAATGACAGATGGGAGTCTAGGATTACACCTAGCACCCTGGCATGAGGGGAGGGACTGATGTTGTGTTATTGATCTTGATGGAGAAGTCAGGGAAGGGGGCACAGGCTGGGGGGAATACTAAGAGCTCAGTTTTGGAAAGATTGAGTTTGAGGAAGTGGAGTGACATCCATGCCGATATGTCACTTAGTAGGGTAGTAATGCGAAAGGAGACTGAAGGGGTGAGGTGTGGAGGAGACTGAAGGGGTGAGGTGAGGGGTAGAAAGATAGATTTGTGTGTCATCAGGATAGAGATGGTACTTAAAGCCATGGGAGTTTATCAAGTAACCAAGGGAGGAGGTGTAGATGGAGAAGAGTAGGGGTCCAAGGACAGAACCTGGAGGGACCCCTACAGAAAGAGGGAGTGAAGAGGGAGGAGGCAGAGTTAAAGGTAACGCTGAATGAGCTCTGTGATAGGTAGGAGGAGAACCAGGAGAGCGCAGAGTCTTGGAGGCCAAGAGAGTGGAGTTTTTTTGAGGAGGAGGGGATGGTCAACCGTATCAAAAGCTGCAGAGAGGTCATGTAGTAAGTAAGGAGTAGTGGCCAAGATGAGTACGGAGTAGTGGCCATTGGTTGGGATGAGTATTGGTTGGGGAGTAGTAAGGCCATTGTTGGGATGAGTACGGGATGCCATTGGTAGGATGAGTACGGAGTAGTGGCCATTGGTTGGGATGAGTACGGAGTAGTGGCCATTGGGTTGGGATGAGTACGGAGTAGTGGCCATTGGTTGGGATGAGTACGGAGTAGTGGCCATTGGTTGGGATGAGTACGGAGTAGTGGCCATATGGTTGGGATGGAGAGAGTGGCCATTGGGAGTAGTGGCCATTGGTTGGGATGAGTATGGAGTAGTGCCATTGGTTTTAGCAGTTAGTAGATCATTAGTGAGTTTTAGTAGGGCAGTTTTCAGTGGAGTGTAGTGAGGGAAAGCCAGACTGTAAAGGGTCGAGAAGGTTTGTTGTGAGAGTGAGATGGGAGCTCAGGCGATTGTAGACTAAGAGTTCTAATAGTTTAGAGGTAAATGGCAGCAGGGAGATGGGTCTTAAGTTGTTCAGGTTGGTGGGGTCCAGGGAGGGCTTGTTAAGTATGGGAGTGATGTGCGCATGCTTTAGAGGGGAGGGGAAGGCACCAGTAGAGAGGGAGAGATTGAAGATGTGAGTGAGGGAGCATAGGATGGAAGAAGAGGGTGACCGTAGTAGTTGTGAGGGGACAGGATCCAGGGGGCAGGTAGTGAGACGGGCTTCTGAGAAACCTTAGTGACCTCTTTGGTAGTAGGAAGGTCAAAAGAGGAAAGTGTTGAGGGAGGTTTAGTATAAGGTATGCTAAGTGGGATGGATGTCTGTGCAGTGGAGATGTCCCTATGAATTGCATCAATCTTGTTTTTGAAATGATTTGCAATCTCGTGAGCAGTGAGTGAGGTACTGGGTGGAGGTGGAGAAAGTTGAGAGTTAGAAGTAGAGAAGAGACGACGAGGACTGGATGACAAGCTATTGATGAGAGTGACAAAGTAGGCTTGTCTGGCAGCATGGAGGGAGGAATTGTATGTGAAGAAAGCAGATTTATATCGGGTGAATGCTTGGTGAGATTTGGTTTTACGCCACATTCGCTCCAGCACACGACTATGTCGTTTAAGATCTCTGGTGTTGTCAGTCTGCCAAGGTTGTAATGGTCGGGGCCTGATGCTTCATGTTAGAGGAGCAAGTGAGTCTAATGTGGATGAAAGTGAACTGTTGTAGACAGCAGTGGCCAGGTCAGGGCAGGACAGGGGAGAGATTCTGTCATAGAGTTGGTCAGTTGCAGAGTGGAAAGGAGAAGGGTTCAAGTTGTGGGTTTCTGCAGGTGATTGCTGATTGGAGGGATAAGTGTTTGAAGATGAGGAGACTGTGAAGGTGATGAGATTGTGATCATAGAGAGGAAAGGGGGTGTTTGTGAGGTTGTAGGATATCATCTCATGGGTGACAACCTTTCAGGCAGGTCTGTGTCTGTGACACCAGCTAGAAAGAAGTCTCTGTTCAGTGTGAGAAAACAACATCCCAAGCTGATGCAGGCCTTCCAATACTGAGTTACTGCTGATTTTAGGGGATGTATTCAGCAGTAAAACGTAAGCCCAGCTGGCCACTTGTGTTCCATGTGGTTCTGCCAAATGGGATTCCATCAGGAAGATCAGAAATCCTTGTTCCATGTTTTCTCTTTCCAGCTATTACTCCTCTCCATAGACTAATCACACAATACAAACTGCCAGAGATCTGAACTTACAAAGTGCTGAGTGTGCGGTCATATTCCTACCACTTCTTCCGGGGGACTGACATTCCTCTGATTGGGGTTCACAATAATCACTCTGAGTGCACACATCTCTTTTTGGTGGAAAGTTTGTAAAGAAAACTTCTTCTCCCTGGAAATATTACAACGTTGGCACCAAAGTGTAACTATGGGCAAAATCAATAATGACATTAATAATGAAATCTGTCATTAGCAGAGCAGGTTTTGTTTTTCCGAGTCTCCTATTTGTTTTATTTTTTTGTTGTCCCTCCCAGTAGAGTTTTTTTTTTTTTTCTACTTCCTGTAGAAGGCCAAGTCTTTTGGGAAAAATGGCAGTTGGAGGGGTTGGGGCAAATCCTATAACACTGCTGGGGGTGCTCACAACTGTCAGTTGTCATTCATATGGGGGGTTGGACCTTATAGAGAACCTGTTGCTGTAACTGCTGTAGAAGCGTTAGCTGAAGTTGGGCTTTACTTGTTGTGTGTCTTACTTATAATCTATCTAAGACTTCCCTGTACAGGGTGACAACGCTGCTGTGTGTAATGTTCCTGCAGAATGATCAGGGTTGTCACCCTGTTACAGAAGGTGGGAAAATAACAGATGTACAGACAGGACCAACAGCTGATACAACTATGTTGCAGAGGGAACTCTGGGAATGCTAATGACAGATTGCATTACACATTCAGTTAGCAGACTTCCTGCTGTTGGTCTGATGTTTGAATTGTGTTCTGATATTTACTGTCCTGCTGTAAAAGGTGTAAATGATCGCCCGCATGTTTCCTGTAGTAGCAGGGACTACAAACTCATATCAGGAATAGTAGGATGATAAAATGTAAGTTAATAGATAGGGCCGCGCCCCTACAATAAGGTATATCTATATCTATATAAATTATATATTAGATTGTTATTAATAAACACTGGCTGGATTTTATCATGAATAATTCACATATGAAAAAATAAGAGAAATCCTTATAAAGTACAGCAAAAAGATTTTCTGGATATATATGTGTGAATTTTTTTTTTTAAATAAAGAAATGAATAATAAATATGAATAATAGAAAAAATATATAAAACATAAATAAAAATAAAAAATATAAATGAAAATATAATCACAAAATTTTGAAAATGAAAAGATGAAAAAGAATGTAAAAATGAAATGGTGTCCAAAGTCTATGAATAATAGCGGAGTATTCTATTCGTGTCCACAATAGTAATTGCTGTATATAAGGAACTGTAGAAATAAATCCTTGCTTGAATATTGACCCTTTTATGGGCTCACCTTCTTGTTAGCCTATTGCTGGGCTGACACAGCTTTTAAGAGGTTTGTATTGATGAGATCCTTTGGACCTCCCCTGGGTTTTCCTGGATTGGTCACTTCTAATGTGCTTGTATGGACATGATGATCTCTGCTTCCTTCTGATGCTGGATGTGGCTCCATCTCCCTATTTTTCTCCTCGTTAGTATAGTGGAAGAAAGAAGAGATATTTGGTGCCTTATCGTTTTAATAATAAAAAGATTTATTTAATGCCCTCTATATGACCTCACATGTCAATCATTTCAATGCGCTTTGTAATAGATAAAACCGCTAAATGCGGATGTGACAGGCTTCCTCCGTGTGTCTACACACACTGTCTATACCGCCGTTACTGAAGTTGGGTTGTCGTGGTGACGTCAAAGCCCCTCCCCAACGCGTTGCGCCACAGGGTCACGTGGCTTCTTCCGGGGGATGTGATAGGACAATCACCTTGCCTGGACTTCTTTTATAATAGTTTGGCGCCATTTTCTTGAAGTATGTATGGTCGCGCGGCCATCTTTTTGGGGCCAAACCTTTATAGCTATCATTACGGACAGCTGTATTGATCAAATTGAGACAATGTTGCTAATTGTGATGTTGTTTGTGTGAAAACATGTAACTGTTATATCCACTGTTTAACAACCCTGTATACGTCGGCTATATAGACTGTGCATGTAATTGGCAACAGGGAAGTCGGTCACATTTACTTTTTAACAATAAGGTTTAATCCAAAATTTATTACAAAATGCATATACAAAAAATAGAAAAAAGAAAAAATACGTACATATATATATAATCAATTAAAAACAGTATAAAGTGCTTTATATTGACTTCCAACTACTAGTTTTTTAGGAATAGTAGGATGGCTACCTACCCAAGGGGGTTCATTTCTCCCAATACTCCCCTGGCCTTCCAGTGAGAAGAAACATTTTCTCTGGAGTGGAGATGTTTTATGCAGTGAGCCCTTCATAGACGGGATGGGGAATCTAAGTAATCTAAGATAAGTAAGATGAACCGGTGTACTGGAGTCATGGATCAGATAACCAATGACACCATTGATGGTATAGCAGAGCTGACAGCAGAAGTGGCTCCATCACCTAAGGTGGTGTCACGTTGCTACTATAGATTTGATGATGGCCCACGGGGGGCCCCACGATTCTCCGGTCCCTGCTCGTCAGCCAGGGAAGGCCACTGGACCTTTTTCCCAGAACTCTGGGACTTGCGGCCTACCCCGGCACACCGAAGCCGCGGCCTCAAATTTTGGCGCGGCCGACCCGGATAGCCGGGCATCAGCCCAGGCTGCTGCTGCTCTGTTCCCCGGTCCCACCGATCAGCCAGCCTCCCCAGGGCCCCCCTCACTGGCCCTGGGTCCATCCCCGACCACCAGGTACCAGCTCGCCCGGAGCAGCCACGTGTTCGTCAGCTCCGGTGCCCCCCAACGCCCCATCCGCTGCCATCCGGGACCATGAGCCTGCTGCCGATGTCCCCACCAACACCCTGAAGGGACCACAGACACTCCGTCCCTCCAGCGGAGCTCCGGCGGTCCGAAAGCGGCTTGAGGCCTACCACGGCTCCCAAAGCCGCGGTGTTTTCCTGCCGGCCGTGGCTGGAATCGCGGCGGGACACCTCCGCTCCTCCGGGGAAGCTACCACCACCACCAACAGTCCTCCTAACATAGGAGGGATCCACCCTCCACCCCGACGCTCCAGGACCCAGGACACCAGGTACTCCACCAGGGGCACCCACTACCCATCAGGGAGCCCAACCACCATCCCACCGCCAGCCCAGGGACACACTCAGGGATCCCACCATCCACCGGAAACCCTAACCACCAGAGACCCTAAACCACTATCCTCCAGGGATCGCTACTACCCCAACAGGGATAGCACGGCCACCATCCCCCCAGGGATCCCCTGCCCTACACCCCACCTGGGACTACCAGCCACCTCCCACGGTGTTTCGGACACTGCTTCGCCATCCCTGACCAGCCACCCCCTCACCCACCCCAGCCCCCCCCCCTTCCAGCACCCCACTCACCATCCAACATGCCCGCCAACGCTCCTCCTCCTCGTCCTCCTCTCCTCCATCCCTAAAACCGCCTTCCTCTACCCACCCACCCCCTAAGCAGCTCTATATCGCCCCCTCATTTCTCCCCTCTCCCCACTATGGCCCCACACCACCTCCTCCTGCTACTCCACTTCCCCGCTGACCCACTTGCCACCACACTTTCAGACCCAAGCGCTCCTACACCTCTCGTTCCCACGCCACCTTCCTCACACTCCACTCATAATCAGCTGGAGACATCTCCCCGAACCCTGGCCCCTCACCACCTCACCCCTCCCTAGAGCCCCCCCTGCTCACGCCAGCCGACGCGACCCCCTCAACCCTCATACATGCACCCTCCTCCCCATATCTATCCCCCCTCTCTCGGTTGCACTCCTGAATGCCCGTTCGGTTTGCAATAAGCTTACTGCCATCCATGACCTCTTCATCTCCCGCTCCCTCAACCTCCTAGCAGTCATCGAAACCTGGGTACAGGCCACTGACTCCACTTCCCCTGCGGCACTCACCCATGGAGGTCTCATCTGGACCCACTCACCAAGACTGAGCGATCGCAGAGGTGGTGGTGTCGGCCTGCTCCTATCACCGCTTAGCACCTTCCAGGTCCTCCCTA